AAGAGTTGCGTGTGACCCAGGCTGATGAGCTGAACATGTATCTTCACCGAGAGGTGCGTCTGCTGGCGCCAGAAAAGTGGAACGGGCAGAGAAAAACAAGTGCTGGGGAGGCGTTCTTGCAATATTTGTTTGACAGGAGGTCCATCACTCACAACGCAACATCTGTGGCTCAACAACTGTCACACATCCATACTACCACGCACGCAAGATGAGTTACCTTCTCCTACAAGGGTGCAAAAAATGGGCGGGAACTTTTTCTAGCACAGCAAGTCATGAGCGTTTTTTTGGGGGGGCGCGGAGGCGGCCCGAGAGTCGTACATACAGTTTTGGGTCCCTTTGCGCGATGCAACGAAGCTGCAGTCCATAAGACTGCACCATCCCTCACACCCTAACACGTGATCCGCTCAAACTACGCGTGAAGCGTCGTCGCAAGTAGCACACGACGTGTCCCCCAATATACGGTACATGCGGTTTGCGAGAAAGGGGCTGAAATTCCAACGACGAGGCAATATTGTAGCAAAGAACTTTCCGGCTCTCTGGGGGGGTGATGGTCAAGTGTTCAAGTTGGGCCAGTGCCTCATCTTGTGCACCTGGACTCCACCAGCAGGGAAATGTTCTATTGGCTGTCCGATACTCTACACATAATAAAGGTTGCTATGCGCGACGACATGCAGCGAAACTCTTGATCATGTCATTTGGAAAACCCCAAAAACAAAGGTCACTATTCCCCAAATTCTACTCACGTGTCCCATTGCCTTCATGTTTTTGTTGGTGATGAGGTGCCTCACGCACGCACGCCATGGCGCTTGCGGTACAACCGCCCTGAGGGCCGCCGGTGATCCTTTGTGACCGTCGATGAAGAACGTCACCTCGCCGGACGAAAGAAGTCGATGCATGTGCTCGTTCCGGAAGGTCTGCTGGAGCAGGAACCTGTAGTTCGTCGCGATCTCCTTGTCTGCGAGTACAGTGCTGACGTGGATGATCTTGTTGTTGCTGTCGTGCATGCAGAGGAAGTACATGACTCCCTTCCACGAACCCTTGAGGTGGCCAGCGTCCATGGCCACCATCTGTTCAGAACGGCGGGGCGGAGAATTGGATATTTCGTAAGGGCAAGATCAAACGGTTTTAAGTGCTGGGAGGTCTCGTAAGGCACTACTTGCGTTGCTGCCGGAGTGTTGTTTGGGCTCGCCCTCTCTGAATCCCATCACCTGTTTGGGACNCCTGGGAGGTCTCGTAAGGCCCTACTTGCGTTGCTGCCGGAATGTTATTTGGGCTCGCCCTCTCTGAATCCCATCAACTGTTTGGGACGCGGGCGCCCATCAACCTGCGAAGCAATGTCGACAAGTACAGTTCCAGAAATGCGCTGTAATCGAAGCAAGTCGAGAGAAGGGCGAGGGCTGGAGCAACATGTCATCATACGACGTAGTCTCGGATTCGTGCAAAGGGACGGTAGAAAATGATCAAAACGGCAAGAATAAGAGGTAGCAAACAGGTGAAATGCGACATGCCGCCAAGGGTAGTAGGAAAGCCTTTTTCGTGGCCGGTATGCTGCTTTCTGTATTGCTGCTGTTGTACGAATCTGTAGGCTTGCACCTGGAACAAAAATCGGCCCTAAAACACACCCCAACTGTACCGATAGTAGGATGAGGTCGCAATGTTACCCAACCCTTGTCGGTTGACGCGGGCATCCCCCCCGTTTTTTCTCACTTTCTCTTTCTCTGGGTGCCTTCTTTTCTGTCGGTTCTTTCAATTGAAATAAATTTTGAAGGGAACAGCAGTCCTTGTCCACCGTTCCNGGCTTGCACCTGGAACAAAAATCGGCCCTAAAACACACCCCAACTGTACCGATAGTAGGATGAGGTCGCAATGTTACCCAACCCTTGTCGGTTGACGCGGGCATCCCCCCGTTTTTTCTCACTTTCTCTTTCTCTGGGTGCGTTCTTTTCTGTCGGTTCTTTCAAATGAAATAATTTTTGAAGGGAACAGCAGTCCTTGCCCACCGTTCCTCGCACGGATGGCGTTAACCGTTAAACAAGCTTCTGCTCGTTTTTAACAACACTGGGAACACGCTGGTTGAGGTATATGCACCCACAGCAATGTCGGTCACAGCATTGCCGTGGTGTTGGAGGTACCACGGTCACAAGCAGCAGCATTTTTGTTGACAAGGGAAAAGTGCCGAAGGAACACAGACACTCGAACACAGAGGTATTGCCCGTTCGAGATAAAAAGCAGGTAGTAGTCGATTATCCGTTACTGCTGACACCACTTCAAACCTCCACCGGATCTCCATGGTGCAATTGTTCGGCCCCATGTTGTTAGAGAGGGTACACACCGTAGTACACGGCGTACCACGAACAAATGGGGGAACTGCTGTCACCATAATGAACACTTGACCCCATTGCGCTACGAGACATGGCGCGCCAACCAAAGTGCAAAATTCAACCCGGGGCTCAAGTCTGAAGCTGAGGAGCAATTGCTGATGGCCTTCCTCGGACCACTTGGTATAAGCCTCAAATGTCCTCAGAGGTGCGCTACAATACATTTGCATGGTAACTGACTTTGCTGGTGAGCTCGAGACATGGCTGGTCGTAATTTCGATATTGTGTGGCTGGAAAGCCAGGGCGCACTCGATTGTTACCTGAAAATGAAAATCACTTCTGCCTGCGCAATCCTCGCTGCGGGTTTGAGAACAACACTGCTTCTATCCCTCGCGAGTTCATTCATCGACAACAAATGATGTAGAGGGATCAAGGATGCTGTGTCGTACCGTTCAACCTAAAAGCGCATCGACGTGACCAACACTGGAGTCCTTGCCCAACCTTGCACGGCTGCATCACGTGCACATTGAACAAACGGGCCCCGATCAAACTCTTACCTCGACGGTGGCGACCGACCCCGGACAATCGCGCTCGATCCCTTAGAAAAGGGATTGAAGACGCGAAATGGCACCCGCTTCATCCTCCTTAGACGCAGTCGCGATGCGCTTCTTCGCACGTTGTGATTGCCCGTCGGAGACGGTAAACACCACGGTCTCCAGGGTCCTCTTGATCGCGGGACCGGCGATCTTGGGGTTGGCCCTGACCAACTGGTCCGCCAGGTGTTGTACCACTGCGGAGCTCGTCCGCCCGCCCACAGCGCAGTCGACGTGCGAGCCCTTTACCTTGGTGATCTTGAAATCACCGCCCTTCTGTAGGCATCCTTTAACAACCCAACTTGTGCAAGTCTTGCAAACCAGGTGAATTTGCCGACTGCCGGCACCCTTTCCATTCTTCATGGAACGGCCGGTGGCAGCAAGCTCAGCGGCTACGGCGACCTTCGCGGCATGGCGGCTGGAGAATATCTGCCCTGCGGTAACGGGCGCTACCGTGGTGGACAAACCCGCCGTCGTCGCTCCTGCGCCGCCGCTCGCTCCTCCTTCCATGATTGATGTCAAGGACGTGTCTGTGTGTGCTGGTGCTGCCTCTCCCCTCCGCCCGCTCAGCGCAGCGCGACACATTGGCAAATATATGCATATATGCATGTCAACCATGCTGGATCGGTCTCGCTTTCATAGCGTGACCCGTGCATCTCGCATATACACTGCAGCAAGCGGTCGTACACGGGGTATCGTACCCGTGTGTGCATGTTTCCAAACGGAACAGAGTTGTGCTGGGGTATTGCCCGGCGGCCATTGTTGATTTAGATCGGAAGAGTTGATGTTTCGCAGGGGCGGAAACTGGTTCCTGCCCCGTTGCCATGGTTGTTATTGGGCGGGAAGATTCGCCGTTTGGTATCCCATGGTTGGAGGGGAAAAGGAGTTGGGAAGATTCCTACGGGGGAAATGATTGATGAAGGGGTCTGATTTCCCGACAGGTCAGGGTACATTTCCAAAAACAGGGTACAGTTTTTGAGAAAAGTGGTCAAGGGCAGGGTATACCCTGCCCCATTTCGGACGCACCGGGGTGAAATTGGGCGGTGACCAATCAAATGAGTGCATTTTACTGATGATAAGACCACTGTTTATGGAAAAAAAAAACTTGATCTTCCTTTCTTTCGACAAATGTTGACTTTTTCGACCTTTTGGGCAGTCTGCCTCCCGAACGAGTTCGAATCAGCTGTTTAACCTTTGAGAACAGTCACAGCTTTGGCTGAGATGTCTACAGATCGCCTACATGTTTCGCCAGGGTCCACGTTTGATTTTTTTCCAGTAGAGCAAGATGTTGAAGATTCGGCCGAAAGGCCACCTCGGAGCAAATCTTGGGCCAAGATCTGTCCAAAAGTTGGTGTTGGAAAAACCTTGCGTGAAATTGCGCACCTTGAAAAAATCAAACGTGGACCCTGGCGAAACATGTAGGCGATCTGTAGACATCTCAGCCAAAGCTGTGACTGTTCTCAAAGGTCGAACAGCTGATTCGAACTCGTTCGGGAGACAGACTGCCCAAAAGGTCGAAAAAGTCAACATTTGTCGAAACAAAGGAAGGTCAAGATTTTTTTGCCATAAACAGTGTACTAATGACTATGTACCCAGGAGTGTCGCTTTTCGACCAGGGTATACCCTGTTGTGTCGTTTTCCCTTATTAGCTGTTGTTGTTGTTGTTGTTGTTGTTGTTGTTGTTGTTGTTGTTGTNAGACTGCCCAAAAGGTCGAAAAAGTCAACATTTGTCGAAACAAAGGAAGGTCAAGATTTTTTTGCCATAAACAGTGTACTAATGACTATGTACCCAGGAGTGTCGCTTTTCGACCAGGGTATACCCTGTTGTGTCGTTTTCCCTTATTAGCTGTTGTTGTTGTTGTTGTTGTTGTTGTTGTTGTTGTTGTTGTTGTTGTTGTTTTCTTCACATTAAACTCGTGTCAGTTGCTCATCCCAAAATCTAGTAAAGACTCGGTCCGTGGTCACAAAAATGCTAGAGCCATCAGAAGATTTAAAGAACACACACACTTTTAGCAAGGAAAGGGTACGCAAGGCCGAGGAGGTACACCTGCAATTCCTGCAGCACGTTTGCGTGCTCATAACATGAACTACACGCCCACACACTACAAATCGACTACAGCAGAAGCATTACCCCCCTTGTCCCGCATTTAATCAAAATGAATGTTCGTCGACTACAGCGTATTGCTGTCTGAAGTGCTGTCTGTACAAAAACACCACCATGGTGCATGGTACACAAGCTCGGGGCATGCAGCTGCTGTCTGAAGTGCTGTCAGAATGTGTCTGCGGACATACAATGAAGAAGAACGCCCAACCAAAGCCATCATTGCAATTGACAATCACCCGAATCTATCCAGATCATCTGTGTTAGGCACAGCAGTGCAAACATCGACACTGACTAGGAATCGTTCCACATTGAAGGGGTCTTCCACGATGCAGGTACACAATTAAGGCACCCGGGTCATCCGCGCCATCTCTGCCGCGTCTCTCTACAAAACCAATGACGTCATCACACACACCCAACACCTGTATTCAGGGAAAAAAACGGAAAAATAGTTGACAATACAAGAGATAATTGTCCGTGCGCCACGGTTCGATGCCGTCCGCCTGCTCCGGTTCCGCTGCTCCGGTGCCGCTGCTCCGGTGCCGCTGCTCCGGTGCCGCTGCTCCGGTGCCGCTGTGGCCAGTCCTAGCACGACCATCTCTCGACCCGCTCCGCTTCGTACACGCTCTCGTTGCTGTCCTTCCCAGTCGGTTCCTCGCTTTCTCCCTCGTTGCACTTGGGGTTCTCGGTCTGAAGATTCTCGCGCCCAAGGGTCAACCAGCCCAATCAGCTCGTCACCGCCTGTCCCCTCCTCCTTTGATGGCAAAACCAGGTTACTGAGACAGTACAGCTCCCTTTAGCAAACCTAGGGCCGTGTACACAGTGCCCGTCCACCTTTCTGATGACGTCTGCCTCCGCGCACAAAGATGAGATGGGCATTGCTGCCTACACCGACGGCCTGGAGGCCCGCGCATCTGCACCTTTGTACCTGACGCACCAGTGCCGACCCAACTCCACCACTACGCACGCCTCGCGGCGGGTGCGCCGCAGCAAGAAAGTATCGGTCCCCTGAGGGTGAGTCTAGCCCTGCTCGCTAGAAAGACCCCCCCCTCGCTATGGGTCATGCCTACGACCTTGCCGAGGCAGCGAGGGGAAGAAAGGATTAGTACCCAACACTAGATTAAGCGGTCCCCGCGTACCCGGGTCCTCCCTTGCCGAGTAGTTCAAAGGTGGAGACAGGCATGCATGCCATTCTTCGCAAGCTAGTAAAACAAGGAGGTGAAGAATGGGGAGAAAAAAATGTTGTCCTGAATAAGGTGTTGTCCCCAGCCGATCAACAGCAGTATTAATACTGCTTACAACTACAGAACGGGCCCGGAGGTAAGAAACGCCAAATTCGGGTCGAGCCTCATTTCCTATTTTGGGCAGAACGACCAGCCGAAGTCGCCCAATTTCTTAAAACGGATTTCTTACTCCTTGGGTCTGTCGCATTCTAAATCTACTATTTTCTCGTTTCTGGCGAAGAAAACAACAACCCACCAAGCCTTCATGGGCATAAACGGACGGCTTGGTGTGGCCAACGTTGGGGGTTGTGGCAGTACAGCAGTACAGCAGCAGTGGGTAGCGCAGCCCACGGCGGCGCTGGGGCGCGGGGGACGCTGGGAAAATAACCACTGTCGTCCCCCCTTCCGCACAACTACATGACATGAGCTATCGGTAGGGGGTGGGAGCATGGTAGCAGCAGCACCAGTGGGACTATTTCTTGTTGGACACGCTCCTTCAGCTACCCCCTTGTTTTGTCTTGAGGGTCTCGCACGATCATGTTTCTTATTGAGGCGTTTCTTACATTGTGGCCGAGATTGAGCTGTGTTTCGTAGCCTTTTTTCTTATTTTTCGTAATCCTTCGAGCTTATTTTCACAGAATATTTCTTAATTGCGGGCCCGTTCTGTATTCTAGCCTATGCTCCAGCAGGACATATCGTCTAATAATAGGAGTTTTTTCCGCGCGCGAAGCGCGCGTGCGAAAAAAAAAACGGAGCGATAGCAGAGTTTTTTTTTTCGTAAAAAAACTGGTTTAGATGGGTCCTTTTTGTTTCCCCGCCTGGGTTCTGCGCACGTTGAATAACACCGCCTGTCAGCCCGACCCCTGAAATAATTACTGTTCTCAAATTGATGTCCGTGTGTGTGTGTGTGTTCGCACCACGTTTGCACCGATAAACAAGTCGTTTGAGGATCGTTTTCGGTACGGAAAAGTGCACAAGCTGTAGCGTAACAAGGCCATCATTCCGCACCCAAGCGTTTCTCATTTCGTGCCCGCGTCGCTGCGTTCGGTGCCGATATGTACTCTATTCACAATTCGTTTCATCGATAACTGCGCCAATTAGCGACGTTCTGCAAAAAAAACGAGTGCTCAAGCCTACTCCTAATAGGTGAACACTTCTCGCGTCGTTGTTTCCTTGCACCAGCCCCTAAGTCACTCGTTCACACCTGGTTTGTCCTCTCTTTGCGGCGTCCTTCAACTGTCATT